ATAGCGGTACCTGCTGAAAAAAGAAAAAAGGATTGAAAAAACTGTTGCCTTATTAAAAGCAGCCCCCTGGCCCCTCCAAATTTTAATTCAGCTCATGAAAGGAGCGTTAAAAGGCATAAAGGCTCTCTCATAAGAAAGCTTCTTCTTTAACTTCACATCTATATTTTTCAATCGCGATAGGCTCAGATGAAAGTGACTTGTAGTTTCCACTCATACAGTTTGACGGAAGATGAGTTCATTTTAGACTCCACATTTATGAGATAATTTTGGGGCTTTTTACATAATTTCTGACATTTTTGTTCATGGAAATTATAAAGTTGGAGGACACTGAACTCAGATACAGTGACGGCTTACCTAAAGCATGTAATCAACTGTAGCTGCAAAAATACTGTATCTGAGGATTTATTCTTTTCATATTAAGACTGATATCGTTTGATTTGGTCTGGCAACATGTCCCTGTTTTAAGACATACGAGGGTCAAGCCCATTAGGCAAATCTGTGATAAATACATTTGACATCTTGTCTTTTACAAAGAGACACAATGACTGACCTTTATCCTCTCCTTTTGATACTATTTATCTCACTTGCACACATTTATCCCATCTGTGAGTCACACAACATATTTCACCTTTCAAACAAACACTTCTCATTCATCTCTTAATAAACATGTTTCACAGTGTTCATGCTTCTCCACCTACACACTGCACTGAGCTCACTGCTAGCGTGCTAATGAGATACTTTTCATAATTAGCTGGAGAGCTGTTTCCCAGTCAGACAGACAGTGAGAGGCTAATTAATCACAGCACATTAGCCAGCCTGTATGTTTACTCATATCTATTTACCTTCTTCTATGGCAGTGAATGACGATGTGATATTTCCTGTTGTTTTCGGAGTAATGGGAAGCTGTTGGATTCTCAGAAGAAAGCCATGGTCAGAGATAATTGATTTTTAGCAATGCCTTGAGAGGTACAGTTTGATGCAGTAAAATTAGAATTCAGACATTGTTTGTTCAGACATCCCGTGGGAAAGCTGAAACCGGTTGATTCCTGCTGTCAGTCCGTCTTTTTATTTGTGGTGAATGATTGCAGAACACAGACGGGGGGGAAAGTCCTCCCTTATTCAGAGTCTGAGAAAAGGCGAACTGCGTATGACACATCAGAGCAAACATAAAGGGTGAAACATTCATGCGGAATGTATGTTTGTGGCACACTGAGGTCTTGTGAATCTGTCTAAACTGCCACTTCTATTGAATGAGCCGCGTATGCGTACGTGGGTCACTGGTGAGACATTAGCTTGCCGTTCAAATATGAGCCACAGGGCTCTGGGGACCAGAGAAAGTAAAGGATTGACACATGAATATACTATTTCTTATGGTGTGACACCCACACCCCGAGACAGTGTGTGGGCGTCTGTGTATGCTGACATTAGAGCACCAGGAATGACTGACAACCAGCTAACCTACGTCAAGTAACGGTGCTCTGCACAGATTTTGCCCATTAACCTATGGAAGCCACTCCAACTTAATAACCTAATGGCCCACTGAGCTAGTCTTACTTATTATCGAACACTATGAAGTTCAGCGTACACAGGGCCACTTGAAAAGGCAACAAAGTGAATATTTCAAATATTACATTTGTACAACATTAAAGTTTAGCTATCATTGTCAATTAAAGTTGCTTACAGTTATCACAACAAAACAACTTTAAATGCATAAAGCACTAGTAGTAAATGCTGGTCATTACATTACTTTGGAAGACACCTTTTTCCAAAGCAACATACATTCACCCAAAACAGTCTTGCTCAAAAATACGTAATACATAAATAATGGAGCTGGGGATCAAACACCAACCTTATTCTAACTTATGGTCAGCTCCACCACCTCCAGCTCAGCTTTAATTCTGTCTTCACAACATTAAACCTCTTTTGAGTGATGCAGTCATTCCATTCAATCATATTTAACAGATGCAAATGAATCTTCTCTTGTAGCTTCCATCAAGACAATTGCTGTTACTTTGTGACAAACGCAAACACAAATGGATGAGACAACCGCACCACACTAAGTCCCAACACCATTGATTGAAAGCTCATATAAGTATATGTTCCAGACCAGTATCCCTTGGTATTGTATCCATGTTGACCATTTCAGACATTGGCATTTACCAAAGGAGGAAGTAGTGAGCCCTTTATGTTGAGAGGAAGAAAGGAAAGGCAGGTGAATGAAACCAATGCATGGCATGATATCCGAACAGATCAGAAGGCAAAACTGTTGACAGCTGTTCAAAACAGCCAAACTCAAAGCTAGAGTTAAAGCACTCACTGTGACTGTCGGATTGTTGTTTTCGGAAAGTTACAGACAAACGCAGCCTGCCCAATTCCATTGTCGGAAAGGTGTTGAGATTCTGAGTTTCAGATGCTGTTTGACCATTTGACCATAGCTCAAGGGTGTGAAGGCTGGCCTGGTGGATGGGCATCTTATATGAGACACCAGAGATTGCATCCCATCACAGAACTGCAATTCATTTTGACTTTTTTGAAACAATAACAATATTGCTTAATCTTAACCATACATTGACCAAACTGGAAATTAATATTCCAAAACCTCTCCATTAAACATATCCTGGGAATCCAGAATCATCCTATATCCATACTCTGTCTGGTAACACGTTTGTTTTCTGTAGCATATAAGGCCTAGGTTTACCAGGTTTATTTGTTTATTTGGATGCTACCAAAGTAGCTACTATTCTTAATGGGTTCCACATAAAAACACAGAACATTAACACACAACATAATGGAACCATCCACACTGAATGACATATACCTCTAACCCAAAACCTAGATCACCCTCATATCCACGCAGTACCCTCTTACAAGGGAAAGCATCACTCTGGTGTTTTTCACTTTTCCACCAGTGTCATATACATCAGTCCGTGTATAGTTGTCAAAAGAATGGAAAAACTTAAGTTAATGACTGAGATTTGTGGCCAACTAATAAAAATATGTGATGTGACAGACTAGACAGGAGCATATGCTCCAGTCTCATATGCGTGTAGCATAAAGCTAAAGATGTACAAGTGTGTGTTTGTATCACCTACCTTTTTTAGCTTCTTTGTTTCTCTGACATAGTCAGGCATAAAAAAACTGCCTACCTATACCAGTGCATTTCAGTCTTCCAGACATGCCATCTGTGTGATTTTGAAGCTTGTGAGCTGCTGTAGCACTGCAGTGATGGCTGATGTCAGTCTTAGCCAGCTTTTTGGCAGAGCAGCACCACTTTTCCTGTTGTTCCAGACCACTGAGTGTGGTGACTGTTGCACCCTGATCAGCAGTCCAAGAGGATTACTGAACAGGTTTGGAGTGGTGTAAAAGACTAGTAGGGAAGACTGTTGGTTTGTGCTGGCTTATTGGTATTTTCCCTATTGAATTACTGAATCGTGAGGTGTTTTCATGGAAGCACAGAGAGAAAATTCATGTTTTTAAATAATCTATTCTAAATTATAATGTTTGATGGGTATATATGTGTAAACAAAATATAATTGCAGATTTGAAATGTGTACAGTGTATCACACACTTAATGTGCTGATGCAGGTGGGGATTTTATGAGCTTATCATCATAGGTGTCTTCTGTGTATAATGGTTCTTGCCACCACCATGAAAGCATGAGCGGAGTCAGTCAGACATTTCGTGTCTGCGTCTTAGATGTACTGTAATTAAAACCTGGCTGTCCTAATTAATGAGGTTTAACCGCTACCTGTGCACTGCCCTGCAATTTGAAGGACGTAGCCATGATAACTGGATAACTGTCTCTATTTTTGAACTGTCTGCCTGGTCAGATACCGCTGCTTTAAGAGAGAAGAGGGCCTGTGTGGGGGGGTTGTTGAAGTAACTCAAAGGTGCACAGGAAGGGAGGTAAGATACAAAACAAAATATGTGGGAAGTTGTGATGAGAGGAAATAAGAGACTGGGAAGAGAGAAATGGTAACTGATAGAAATAGCAAGGTGAGTGGGAGACTGCTGTAAGACAGACTGATGATCTGATGTTAATGTTCTTGTTTATTAATATCGTAGTGAGAACTCTCTCTCAGTACCCAGTACTTATGAAATCCAGGAAAGCCCATGTGCTCTGTCCACTGTGTGTGCGGGAGTGTGTGCATGTGTTTGTACTTTGTCGTGTGGCTGTCAGTCTATCGAGAGCCAGAGGACATATGCTGGTCAGCCAGCTACCCTCCCTACTGTCTCATCATTTTCTGTCTTTCTCCCTGTAGGGTGGCCATTACAGTGAGCCCCCTCAGGCCAAGCCACACACACAGCAGCAAACAATGAAAACATTCTTGTGTGAGCATACACACATGCAACCTTGCATACAAACACACACTCCCTCACCATCCATCCATCCATCCATCCCAGCTCGAGGGTCTTGGTGAGTGGGCTTCAGCCCCACGCAACAGCACCATGCTAGGGCCTTGCCCACATTAGCACCCTGGCGGTGGATAGGCTGGCTGGGCTCGCCAACAGCCTCCAGCTAATGTCCTCCCACAAGAGCTGGCACCCTTTAGAAGAGCTGGAATGGTCACAAAGTGGGAAGAATCTAATCCAGTTTGACTCGTTTTTGGGGGGTGGAGGGGTGGGGGCTGGCGGTCCATGGGGCTTATTTGGGGCACTCTAAATAAATATGAAATATGAGTCCTGTATGTGTTCTCACTGGGAATTATTGGATTAAATGGTTGCAGCACAGAGCAGAGTTAACACTAAGGAAAAAACTGTGGTGCAGCAGTTATAGTACATGAAGCCAATTTAAGCCCCTTAACAGTGATATCACAGGACAGCTTTTTATGGTTTATGTCCTTAGTGTAAGTATATCCTGCAGCTATGCTTCCCTGTGTGGATTAACACCTGAGTCATTGTTGACTGCCCCACTTTGATCTGAGTGAGCCCACCCTCCTTCACCCCTGTTATTATGATCATCCTCCAGTTGACAACCATTATGTTGAAATGTATCAAACCTGCATAAGGGATGGGGGCGTCTTTGTCCAGGGCCACCAGAGGAGGATCTAGCAGAACGATGTCAGTGTTTTCAGTGATCACTCCATGGTACGATGTCTCAATCCATGGCTTATGCTTATTCACTGTGGAGACATAAAGCATGAGTTGTCAGTGAAATACATCTGCTACAAGGTGCAACAGAACAGTCAGTCTTAGCATGCTGAGATATACTTATTAAATTTCATTTCATCGGAAAAACACTTTGACATGCACACAGAGAGAAATACAGTCTACTGTATTTTATATTTTGTCAATCTATTTCATATTTATTTATGTCAACTGTACGTTTATCTATATGTAGCACCTTATCTCCAAAGCAAATTCCTCGTACGTGTAACAAAACTACTTGACAATAAAGAATTTTCTGATTTCTGATTCTGCAGCAGGAACTCATACACTTTGTTTTTATTCTTGGCAAAGCTCCTTCAGCCTCTTTTTTCTACAAGAAATTCTCCTTTTGCTAACCTCCCCTGCTTCCTCTTTTCTTGTTTTTGTTCTTTTCTTCCTTCAAACCGTCCCTGTAGTTTTCAAAGCAAAGTGCCATGCTTGAATGATGACCACCACTGAGCTGCCAGCAAAAAAAACTGTATCCAAGGCCAAGTCAAAACAAAGTTCATGAGCCAAGGGCCTGATTAAGAGCCATAATTGAGGCTGTGTGTGTTTATCATCTTATGGTCAGAAGAAGAAGGAGAAGAAAAAAGGAAAACAGCTGGAAACCTAAAGTCCTTCCTGCTTTTTAACTGGGCCAGAAATTGTCACAAATTCCATTTTTTTCCCAGTGGATTGATGGTGAATGAAGTGCGTAAGCAATAATTACTCTCAATACAGTGACAGAAAAGCCAAAGAAAGTGGATTCTTTGTAAGTGCTTATCTAGCAATCATTAAAGACCACTTTAATTATTCACTGAATGTCAGTGAAAGCTGTTTGGCAATGCTAAAATGTGTACTTTCCAAACAACACAGACAGACAAGACTATATAATTTGAGTACACAACGAAGACTGTTGCTGTAAAACTGCATTTTATTTTATTTTCATAACTTGCTTACAGCATTTATGTGATTATCTGTTGTCATGGCAAATATGATTAAACAGCACTATTTCGCTTTACAACAGTTATTCCCAGCCAGGGGTAATTGTACTCCGCTTTAAAAAGCACAAGTGACAATCTGCTCTTCTTTTTATGTTTTTTTTCCCTGGAAAAAACTGACTTTTGGCAGCTAGTATAACAACAAAACACCCTGCAACTTTATCAAAATGCTTAGTAAGATAAAGGAGAAAACTTCAGTGCAAGTTGTGTAATTATTTTCTTGAGGACTCAGAGTAACCACATGAAGCTAGTGAGACCTGGGGAAAACATGCTAACACTACAGGGGATGCATATTCATGAGTGCTAGCCCAGAAAGCATTGCTAACGGCCCTGATACAGTCAGAGGAGATCATTTACAGGGGCAGAGAGATGGGAACACATTAGTCTACCAGGACGTGATAAATATGCATGAGCATGCTACAGCAGTGAGGGGTAAAATAATACTGGATTTCAACTTTAACTGCCAAATCATGTCATTTTGGGAATGACAAGCTTGCTGATGCTGCTGTGAAGGAATTTCAAAAGATTTGTACAATATATGTCATCCGTGTCACTGCCAAAGATAGGGCTAAGAGAGACAAACCTGTATTTTGTGGAATATTTGATACACGTACAGAACAATTAGCACACTGGTATTTATTTTAGAGCTCTCTCTGGAATTGAACAGCCAGATTTCTACAAAATCAACTAAAAAACCTTTCAGTAGGACAATGGAAGTGTATTATCATCAGAGAAAAACAGAAAGTGAGACATTTGAAAGAATATGAAAAAAGCTAATCTCCTGCTTCAAATTGGGACAAGTGCATAACCCCAATAAATGTGTAATACAGGGTATAATGTTATGTGAGCACAATGCGTGACAGCTAATGAGGAGTCAGGAGAATTGAAGGGGCTTGTCCTCAACTTCATATTCAGTCCTCTCACAGCTTAGGAGCCCTACTGACCTTTAAATCCTTGATGCCGCGGTCCGTGCCGCTCACTGTGACTACTTAGCAGTGTCAGGCTGACCTAAATGTTCTGTTATCAACATTGCCGAATTCTTCTATTGTGAGAGCACAACGTGATCTAGCTGCAATGATATTGTACAACAGCAAAAATGGAGGCTCTCCCTTGTCATAAGACACACAACACATATCACGAAGGTGGCGGACAACAGAACATTACAATTTAGTCTGATGATATCTCTACGCCGGTGACCTTTGTGATATCACCGGTACACAAGTTCAAGTGCATACTCCCATCAGTCAGCCAAGCTGCGCTGCCACTGCAGGTTAATGATGTCTCAAACCATTGCCACTTTCCCTGTGTGTGTGGGATGGGATGGTTTTTCACTGGGAGTGATGAGGGCATTAAAGGAGCGTCCACTTCATTGCCACAGTGTCTTGATGGGGTGCCACCTACATGTCAACCCCACCCCCAACTCACATCTGCAGCATATCCAATCACTGGAAAGAAATACAACACTGACACTGTCTTAATAGAACGGCGTCCATGTATTGACAGCTTGAGACATGCCCACGGGTCATTATAACAAAATAGATGGATATGCTCCTCCTTCTTGCATATAGTGCACGCTGTCAGAGGTTGAAGAGGGGTGGAGGGGCAAAAATGAAAGAGCCAGACCATCAGTTCCACAGATTCCCAGGGGAAACATTGCAGCCGCTTACCACGATCGAACCCACAGCTGCAAGCGCTAATGCCTTGACACTAAGTGATTAGCTACATACTCCTCCATGGCAACTTGAATCAAAACTAAACACGGTTAATCCTCTAATCGATATGAAGGGAACATGACACCCGGCACGGCCACATTTGCCTGCATCGTTTCACTCTGCAGGTAGTCAGAAAGAAGCACTTCTTGGAATTGCTCTCTTTGCTAAAAGTCTTCAAGCTTTTGTGTGCTAACGACACACACCTATGAGAAGATTTGTCCTTTTGACATTTTGATTGAACAGTGCGACGCTCATCTACGACTCAGCCTTCAGGGCTTCAGGCAGCCTCTAATAGGAGAAAAATAAACAGCAAACACACACACATACACACCTGGAAAAAAAGGAAAAGAAAAACACCTGTGCTGCTCTCCAACTGACCCCAATTTTTAAAAGCAAACACCTTCGTTGGCTACTAAAAGCACTCCGTAAATGGCATGCAATAACCTGTGTTTGAATGGAGAGAGGTCGATTTGCTGCCATCTTGTGAAACCTTGTGGCTTTTTGGCTGAACATGACCAGACTAGAGATGTAAGGGCTTTTTACATTTTAAGGGCAGAGCAGAAATCAAACGCACCATTTTCAGTTTCATGTGTTAACAAGCAGAGGAAGCTGCTCATACAGGATTGTTGTGTTTGCTTATTTAGAACTGAGCTGGGATTCAAATACCATGACCTTTTGCCACTGTGTCACATAGGGGAAAAGCAGCAGGGTGAATCCTGTTAACTGGCTTCAAGGCAGACTAGACAAAATCATTTGACTGTACATGTCTCTCGGAAAACTTGTAACCTTATTTTAACCTTTAACTTTATTTTCTTTGTTTCTTTTAATGAAAAGCATTCCAACCTTTTCTGCCACTACTTTTTCTCTATTCTCTGCTTTTGGCATATATGAAATTAATTTATTACTCTTACATTTCAATAATAACCATTTCCTTGTAATTTTGTCTTTGCACAAAGTGGAGGTAAAGGCCACTGAATCATATTTGTTCTTCAAATCAATTTAATTAAATGGGTTTAAGGATATAGTTATCAAACCTGTACAGGCTAATATAATCAGGTTGTGTGACAGCTGAAAGGTGAACGCAGGAGCTCAGCTGACCTTTCCTGCTGGCTGCCGGTCAGCAGGACTATCTCCCTCTGCATTGCCAATTAAGCCAAGAGTCGTGGATTTGACTTGAGGCTCTGAACATGGAAGAGGCGCTATAACGGCTGATTAATCTCTGACCAGGCAACAGTATGCCATTGCAACTGTGCTGGTGGGTGCCACCTCTTAATGGGCGGGTGCTGCAATCTGAACAAGCCCAGGGGGGACAGGGGAGGAAGAGAAACAGTTGTAATTAAAAAGAACTCTGTAGGAAATTAAACTCTGATTGATAAGGTCAACAAAAGGGGCTGAGATGAATACATCAGCATAATGAAAAGTAAATGCATCAGAGACAGTTAGCCATTACTGCGACCAACAGGCAATTACAGCTACACAGTAAGCTGGGAGCTGATGCCAGCTCGGAGAGGCTCAGAGATGTCCATCAACAGGTCACCGCGAATTATCGAGAAACATCCCCGCTGTGCCAACGTCGAGGGATATGTCAGGGCTGTCTTTTTTTCTCTCCCCTCAACCACGCCATCGTTGCAGTCATCTGTGTCTTCTTTGAACCTAGGAGATCTTTGCAAACTTTAATCTTGCACTCAATGCGCTGGCTTTGTGCTTCACAGAGCAACCTGACAGGAACCATCTGCGGGGGAGAAGACTTTATTAAATATAAAAGCTTCTAAGTAGATTTCTTGTCTTGATACATTGAGTCCTCAAGTTCCTAACATTGATTTTGACTTGAGATTAGTTATACTAAAAGGTAACACATGCTAACAAAACTGACATTACACAAGGCATGACATTTTTATTTTAACTGCCAATTACTGAAATACATTAGCTGAGGTGAGCATAATCTTTATCTATACAGCTAGTGATTTAGTTTTACACTTACATAGAGGTAGAGGACCAACAAGAGACAGATGTCAGACAAACTTGTATACGTATCGTATTTTGCATTGTTTTTGTTGAAAAAAGGGTCAAGGAGAGGGGTCCAACTGCAGACCTCCACTCTCAGGCCACTACTGTCAGGCCATCTCCACTGTCAGGCCGGTCAGTTTTTTACGTCCCCACAGGACGTAACGTGATGCATTCTCTGTTGTTTCGCTACTCTACACATTGCGACTGCGGTAGGTGACTGGTTAGCATTATCCAAAACATTGAGTAAAGTCTGAATGCATTGCTCTTGGTGTATGC